CCGGACCGCCCTGCTCCTGCTGGCCTGGCTGCCAGAGAATGTTCCGGCCGGTTATCGGGAGTGTCCATTGGGGCAGCGCTGGCCTGGGGGAGGCGGGGAGCCTGAAGCGGCTCTCGAGGCAGGGAGTCCACCTCCTCTTCGTTGGGCTGCAGCTGCCCTGCCCTGCCCACAGCCGCTGGCTCAGCCCAGCCGGAGGAAATGACAGGGCGGAGAGTGCCCGGGGCCCTGATGGAGGGCGCTCTAGAGCCCAGGGACCCAGCCTTCCCTGGCCTGGCAGCTCCGGGGAGGCAAGTGGGAGCCCCAAGGGCCTACCTGCATGGGCCCCGCCCCTAGTGCTGTTGCTGCAGCAGCTCCTGGAAGAAAAGCAGCTCCTGCCCTGGGCAGGGAGGCCGTGCGGCTGCCGGAGGCTTGTTCTGCACACGGCTGCTTGCTGGGTTGGGTAACCAAAACTTCTTGCCCCGATCTGTCGGCCGGGGGGGCCTCCAAGTTCCAAGACAACAACAACAACAACTCAGAATGTGCAGCCCAACGTTTGTAAGGAACTGAAGTGGCATTTTCCATCCTGCCCGGCCCTCCCTTTAGGGGCTGAAAGCAGCTTAAATCCCTCCACAGCCGCCCTCCTCCTCCTCCTCCTCCTCCTCCTCCTCTTGCCAGTCCTGGGGGAGGCTGGGACAACCCCAGCAGTCTGCACAACGGGCCTCCGCCAACTCAACAAGCAGCCTGGCGCCTTCAGGCCCCCGGCAGCCATCAGGCATCTAGGCACAGCTTCTTCCCCTCCTGCCTGTGCCAGCTGCCGAAGTTCTTGGGGAAGACCTCCTGCTTGAGTCACCGCCTCCTCCTCCTCCTCCTCCTCCTCCCTCCTCCACGAATGACCTCTGGCTACCGGTTTGCCTTGGCGCCCTGTTTTCCAAGGCAGGGAATGATGGGGGAGCCAGTCCCTTCTCCTCCCACAATCTTGGCAATGCTCACTTTGGGAGCCGAGCTGCCTTCCTGGCTTCTCTCAGGGGGCCCTCAGGAGCCATCGAGGGGCCTTCCGCTGCTGGGTCTCTGGGGAACATATCCAGCTGCCCTTTCCCTGCCCCCCTTGGAGCAAGAGCCCCCTTCCGCTCTCATCCATCCTGCCCTTCCAAAATGTGAGGAGCAGATTCCGGAGCCTGGCTAATCTGCCTCGCCCGTTAGCATGGCACTGTGCCAGCCCCTCCCTCTGGGACCGAGGCTTTGCACTCGCTTCGGTGCCACAGCCTTGGGCATAGGGGGAGAGGAACCATGGGGCTCCCAGGCAGGGTCTGGGGGGGTCTTGAAAGGACCAAACGGGGCAGAGGAGACCCCCCTTTTGGAGCAGGAGGATAGGGGAAGAGGAGTCTTGGACAACCGCAGGCCACTCACGTGGCTGCAGCCACAGGCCAATACTAGCCCAGGGGGAGGGGCTGCCCTTGCTGGCCCGTGGCAGAGTCCCTTCCCCGGGAGTGCCTGATGGAGTCGGCTGGAGTGTGGCCTTGGCTCTTGGCTTCCGCACAGCTGGCCAGGAATAAAAGCCCCTTTGTGCCTTTTTCCTGCAGGCAGTTAATGAAACGGATGCTGGCTGAGAGGCTGCAGCCCTATTAATTGGATAAATCAGCCGGTCTGACAATGCAGGGAAGTTCCGAAAAGCCCCCACCGCCCTCGGATGCGATGGTCCCGCAGGAGGCACCCAAGGCAGGCCGGCCGGCCGGAGGGGAACCTGGAGCCTCGGAGGGGCTGCCTGGGCTCCGGGGCTGGCTTTCTGCTCGCTCACTCGCTTGCTCTTGTGCCCTGCGACCCTCGACTGTTGGTGCGGAGCCTCACCCTCCCCTGGTGCAAGTGAAGCGGGCAGCAAGAAGACAGGCTCAGATGAGGGGGAGGGGAGGCGCTCGCAGGAGCCTTTCTGCTGTTTGGAAGGAGGCCCTTGGAGGGCTCTGTGGATGGGGGGGGGGGGCAGGAGGGGGGGGCCCACCTGTCTGGAGGCACCTCCCCTCAAAGGCCAGCCAGCTGAGTCCCCCCAGCCATCAAACAGTCGCAACAATATGGACAGGCCTCCAAGGGAAGAGGGTCTACGACAGGCAGGCCATTTCACCACAAGGTTTCCACTCGGGGCTTGGCCGGCTGGGGTCAATTTCTGCCCAGTGGTGGAGTGGCCTGAGAGGATCTGCTGGCCGGATTTGCTCCGTGTTAGTCTGATGAAGCAGCGGGAACCTTGACGGTGCATTTAACCGAAAAGCTAGAAAGGAACTTTTAACCAAGAAAAATTGTAAGGAACAGATTTCAGCTACACTTCCAGATCACAGAATCACGGGAGTCTCTTATATTTAAATCTGTGATGGGATCACAAGGGATTCTCTTGGCCTTAAGACCACAACTCATCCTGGAACCCTCCTCTCTCTTTGCCCCAGGACTCTTCATCCTCTTCACGAACTATTTAAATGAGTTAGAAAGGGAACGTCCCAAATTGGTGGATGACACCAAGCTGGGGAGAAAAGCCCATACTTTGGAAGGTAGACTCAAGATAGAAAAATCCCTCAAGGGACTTGAATGCTGGGCCTCATCTAACAAAATGAAATTCCACGTAGAGAAAGTAAGTTTGTCAGTAAATTTGTCTTTTTAAAACACAGTATTTTGTCAATGTTGCAGGAAGAACAATCCAGTCTTCCTCCTGTAACACCTAGAGAGAAAGAACAGAGACCTGTTGAGCTGTATAATCTGTAACTGTAGTCAGTGTACAATACATTAACAATGAGAGTAGATGCGACTCCTTTTGGTTAGGTTATCTTTATTTCTTTGCAAATTAATTCAGAGCCTATCCTTTAGATGCTAAAATGGAAATTACATTTTTGATAAAATGTGTGGCCTCCAATATTTCTGTTACTTCTCATTGCATGTGCCGTTTGGGCATTCTCTTGTATATCCTGTTTGGTATCAGTTTTGTGGATGACACCAGCCTTCAACATGCTGGACTCAAAATTTAGAAGGATCTTGACAGACTTGAGTACTGGGCCCTGTTCAACAAGAACAGGGGTTTAGAATAGGTGGTGCCTGGCTCAACAGAAGCGACTCTGAGAGGGATAACTTGGAAAACTTGGCAAAATATTTTCTTTTTTCCTGGTTGAAATGGCAAACGGAGCCACTCTGTGTCGTGTTTCACATGCTCCAAACTCTCCAGGCTGAAGGGAAGCCTGAAGATGGAGGCACCCTCCATCCCAGCAAGTGACTTCGCTGTTGGAGCTGGTGGTCCTAGCAGGCCTGTGGCCTTCCGAGTGCCCAAGGGGGGCTCTGGCCCCAGTTCCAAAGGCTGGCAGTCTTGGGCGATTTGCAGAGGCTGCACGAGAGGCTGCTGGGGAGCCCACCAGGTGGCTTGCAGCCCAGAAGGGCCCCCCCAGAGGCGGCTGACGGATGAACCGAGTATGAAATGGAAGGGAGGGCAGATTCCCAGGCAGCTGGCAGTGCTGAACAGGAAGTCCTTGACTTACAACAGTTCATTTAGTGACCCTTTGAAGTTGCAGCGGCACTGAAAAATGTGACGACCAATTTTTCACACTTGTGACCGTGGCAGCATCCCCATTTGTCACAGGATTTGCATCCGGATGCTTGGCAACGGATTCATAGTTAGGACAGATGCAGTGCCTGGGGATCACAGGATCCCCTTTGGTGATCTTCCGACAAGCAAAGCCAGTGGGGAAACCAGGTTCACTTAACAACTGAGTTACTCATTTAATAGCTTCAGTGATTCACTTGGCGACTGTGGCGAGAAAAGTCATACAACGGGGCAAAACTCACAACAGAGTTCTCCCTTCACAACATAAATTCTGAGCTCAGTGGTGGTCGTAAGTGGAGGACTAGCCTGTACGTGCGGACAGTCTGTACATGTGGGGCTGCTTCCTTCAAGCCCTCCTTGGCTCCTGGGGGGCTGCATAGGAACCGGAAGTTCTGCCTCTCGATTCCCCACCCTGAGGAGAAGCTGCCGGCCGGTGGAAGCCCTTGGCTCCCAGGGGAAGGAGGGAGGGGGCTCAGGACCAGGATTCCTGGCGGGGGGGAGTCTGGCTGCTTTCATGTCCTTTGCGTTGCAGGGGGTGCTTTGGTAGAGGAATCTGACTGGTAAAAAGATGTTTATTTTTTCACATTTCAAAAACATCTTTTTTTAGTAACAGCATGATTCCAGGTTTCGACATTTCCATACAAACATGACCTTGGTTACATTTTCATCTTTCACATTTGATCTCATATCGTTACATTACGTATTTTCTATACATTTTCTCAAATACTTTCCTCAAACTTATTTTATATATTTTCTATTCATTTCTTATTTCTTTTTACTTTAAATAATTCTCATATCTTCATATTCATTATACTTTATACTTTTATCTGTCACATTTACAATTTAATCGCATATTCTTATTTCATTATTCCAAAAATTCCATCCTAATTCAAAAAATTTCCCCTATAATTACTAATTTGAGTGAACCACCCCTTTAGCTTATACATCATTTAATTAAGTCCTTTTTAATTGCTAATAATTTATCACTTTTTAATTGTCACCTTAAAAGCTAATAACAATAATCTCCTAACAACTACGTAACAACACGTATGCATTTTAGGCCAGAGGAATCTGACATTTTGAGGAATGGTTTAATATTTGGAACAATGTTAATATTTGGAATTCCAAAATATTGCATGCATTTCTACTGCAAGAGGTTGTCCATGTGGGCTTTGGCTGGAGACTTGCAAACGGCAGTGCTGACCGTGGTGTGTTCCGATCTGTTTATGCTGAGAATAAGAGCCGCTTTTCCTTGAAGCATGACAGCAGCACATCTTCTATGTGGGGCCCATGGATGACGGGCAGCTGCCTCGCGTGCTACCAAGGGGGAAAGGCGGGGGAAGGAGGGGCCGTTGGATCCACTTGCACCCTTTGGGGGCCCTGAGCCCCTGGTGATTTGACTTGTTGCCTGTTTCATTGCGTAATTGCAACCTTTCTCTCCCCCCCATCCCAGGTTCACATTTTGGCTGAGCACCTGCCAGAAGCATATTGAAAGGTTGCGGCCACAGAGAGCAGCGCAAGGAAGTGCCACCCTGCAGCTCCATGCCTGGCAGATGCCACGCGAGGGAAGATGCTGCTGCACTGACTGGGCATTACCTGTGCCGCCTGGGGGGGTGCCCCGGGCCAAGGGTGCAGGGAGAGCCCGGCCCAGCCAGGAGACCTCACTCTTTGGCAGAGCTGCAGATGTACTGCTCTCTCGCCAGCCCTGGGAAGCAGAGGGCCTCCTCAGAAGCGAGGCGCACTCATGGGGAGGGGCAGCCGCTCTCCACAATTCGGCTGGGGGCCTCAAGGAGGCGGCTTCTTAAGCCCGAGGATGTTGGCAGCGTGGCTCTGATAGCGGCTGCTCTCCCTCCCTCTGCGCCAGACCCAGCATCCTGAAGCTAGGAAGAGGAGGCAGAGACCCCCCAGCCCCCCCCCCCCCCCCCCGAGTCCCAGCAGTCTCCAAAAGGAGAGGGTCTTCTCCAGGCGGAAGAGACATTTTCAAAACGGGTTTTGTAGGAACTCAAAACGGCAAGGGGGCCCTGCGAATTTTCCTTCTGCCGTTAAAGGTCTGGTTCCCGAAGGCAAAAGTTCTTGGGTGCTTCAGTGCAGGAGGACCGTCTCTGGTCGGGCCATCGCTTGCCCTGGTTCGGGAGGGGTAGTCCAGTGAAGTCCACCTCTTGGCCGGCCCTGCTCCCCCCTCCCCTTTCCCATTGGCTGCAGCTGTGTGGAGGGGCCTTCTCCTCGGAGCCCGCCATGAAGTTTTCCTTGCGCTTCTGGTTCCTCTCCACGGCGTTCCTGCTTGTCTTCATCATGTCGCTGCTCTTCACCTATTCCCACCACAGCATGGCCTCTCTGGACCTTGGTGGACTGAACGGGTTCCACCAGGTGAAGCTTGTGCCCGGTTACGCCGGCATGCAGCGCCTGAGCAAGGAGGGGCTCTTGGTGAAGAGCTGTGCCTGCCACCGGTGTGCCATGGAGCCCAGCGACACCACCTGGTTCGACAGCCGCTTTGATGACCACATCTCCCCGGTGTGGACCAAAGAGAACATGGACTTACCGCTGGATGTCCAGAGGTGGTGGATGGTGAGTCCCAGCAGCTCTTTGCCGAGACCAAAGCAGCTGCTCAGCTCCTGCAGGAAAGGCAAGTCCCGCCTCCTGCTTGGGCGAAATTGTCTCAAGAACTTTGCTGGGCAGTTTTGCAAACTATCCCAAAGTCCTTTTGGAGCTGCTCTGTGGCAAAAGCAGGACCGAGCTCTTTTTCATTGTCTAAGCTGTGTGATGCTCTCCTGTCTGTCCGTTCCCTTCACCCTCAGCCCTTTGAACACCCCGCCACCCCTTGTGTGCGTAAGAGGCCTCTGAGCATTCCTGCCTTCGGTTTTCTTCAGTGGACCTCCAAGCTGACAAGCCTTTCCCTTCCTTTGAGACTGTGGAGCTGATCTCTTTTGGCAGGTTTTTTCCTTTCGTGGCAGAACCCTGAAAAAGCAGAAGAATTAATTCATGGGAGGAAAGGGCAGGTGGGGGCTTAGAAGCAGAAGGCAACAACGCTAATTTGGTGTTGTATCTTTTATAATCAGCCAAATGTTGCATCCAAATGTGGTACAAGAGAATAACAGAGAACAGAGTCTGGGGTGGGGGGGAGAAGCATTCGTCTCTGGAATTTGCAGCCCTGGCACCCGAGGCCACGGAGACAGGAGCTGGTTGGCTTTGCCTCAAGTTGAGGCCTTCCTTGTTTTGGTTCCCGCCTCCTGGCTTCCTACTGAGAGCCACTTCAGTGCAGTGAGTGAAGGTGCTAGTGAGGAATAAAGAGACGCGAGTTCTAGTCCTCCCTTAAGCATTCAGGAGTGCAGGACGGTCACTCCCTCTTAGCCTTAGACAGGGAAGTCAGGAAAGAAGCCCCAGACTTCCTGAAATGGGTCCTGCAGCTGCTCCCTTGGGGTCAAGAAGGAATGGCCACCAGATCTGCCTTTTTTGCTTTGTCCTGAGGTGCTGGGGACCTCAGGCTACGCCAGGGCCCGAATGTGCTCCTTGTCTGATTGGGGTCACCTAGTAGTAAATGCCGTGTTTGCTCTTGCGAACCAGTGCAAACTTTGTGGCTGCTAAAGAGTAAAATAGCAGTCATGCCCCCCAATTAATTCTATAGACTCACCCGGAGCAGCCATTTTTAAATGTGGCTGAAATCTGAGAAAGATTATTTCTTGTGAGTCAAGAAATGCTCTGCTTTCAAATACCCTTTTACAACAGATGAAGCATTTAACCGTTGACTAGAAAAGGGCCATAAAAACACAGGCAAAAGACATTTCAGGACCACGAATTGCAATCCAAGTATCTGGGTATCTAGTAGTCAACCTCAACTAGCATGGTTGCAATTATAATAGTCAGATCAGATCAGTCCCCTTTGTCAGATTTAGCTTTGACAAATAATGAGCTTCATCAACATCGAGTTCAACCTGTGACTTTGGGAGGCATTTGATGCCTTTAATAAGCCCCCACTCCTGGGCCTGCAGGCATTGCCTTCTAAACTAGCAAGGGAACGTTGGTCTGCTGGCCTGGCCTGGCTCCTTTCTTTTTGAGAAATTCTGGAAAATGGGTGAAATGCCAGGCAGGAGGAAGACAGGTATCTAACACCTTCACAAGGTTGTGTGTGTGTGTGTGTGTGTGTCTGTGTCTGTGTTGCCATGTTTATGGTAGCTCTCTCCAAGTTGAGTGCAAGAGGCAGGCTGGAGGGGAAAAGCCGGAGCCGCTGCCTCTTGCAGTGGTTGCAGAGGCAGCCTTCGTTCTTTGGCTGGAAAGCTGCAAATGACCGGAACTTCACAACAGGACCGGGGAGGAAGGGAGTCCTGTTGTGATGGTCTGGGATGACCTTGCATTCCGTGGGTTGTCCAAGATGTGGTGCTTTTAGACTAAGCCTGCTTCCTTGCAGGAGGCTGCCCCACGTCCCCTTTCTCACCTATGCACATTCTCTCTCTTGCCTTACCGCCCACCCAGCCCTTTGCAGACTGACTCTGAATGTGGCCGTGTGGAATCCTCCCTGCTGTCCCTGAGGCCTCAGGATGGGCAAAGGAGGGGAGGATCCAATGGAGTCTGGGGGGCTGATCGGGTGAAACGTGGCTCTCCTGTTTCTCTGCCAGAGGAAGGCAGTCCTTGTCCACCTGTCCTGCTCCTACTTCTGGGTGCCCTTCGATGCCCTCACCTGTTCCTGAGTCTGGTGCCAACCAGCCTCACTGTCCCCGAGGAGAATTTCCTGGGACACCTGGCACACCCCAGCTTTGGCGAGAGACCACCGAGGGGTGCTGCTTTTCTTGATCCAAGGAAGCAGAAGCCTTTGGATGTGTGCCCTGTTCACCTAATGTCCATGGGGCTAAGCTGAGAGCACTTCACAGCACACCCATGCCTGTTATAGCTAAATTCAGTCAGCCAGCGTAACAGTGAAGCATCAAAAACCAATATAGCAGTAGCCACTATTATGTCTCCAGCATTGCCTTGTGATACGTAAAACACCACGGAAACATTAACACTGAAAAAGAGGCTGAGTCTTTCAAAGGTCTTCAAGATTCAGTGTTACCTTAAATTGGGGGGTGGGGGGGTGGGCAGCATTGCCTCCAAAGGCCAGGTGTGGCTAGACAGTCAGTGGGTGGGGAAAAGGTGGTCTCTGGCTGCTACTTGTGAGCTGCCCCCAGAAGCCTCTGGCTGGCTGTCGTGAATAGCCCTGGACCAGGTGGGCCTTGTCCTTGTTCAGTTCCTCGAATGGCCCTTCATCAAGCAAAGGGGACTTTGAAAGAGGATCTCTTACAGAGGAGGCTCTGAAGGCTTTGGATGAGCACTTAATGGCGGCAGACCACTTCGTTGCACCTGAGAGGGAGCTGTGCCCCAAAGATGAGTCTCGTCTGTGTTTGTAAGGTTCCCTGGCGGTTGATACTCCCTTGGATCAACAGCTCCCGCCCAAGTGCTCGCGGCCCAAGTTCGGCTCTCCTGTCCTCTCGTTCAACCCCCACCAGACCTTTTCAACTGTTGTAAATGGTTCCGCTTTTTCTAGATGTTGCAGCCCCAGTTCAAGTCCCACAACCTTCACGAAGTGTTGAGCAAGCTCTTCCAGATTGTTCCGGGCGAGGATCCATACAGGTCCCGGGAGTCCCCATCCTGCCGGCGCTGTGCTGTAGTGGGCAACTCAGGGAACTTGCGAGGCTCTGGCTATGGCCAAGACATCAATGGACACACCTTCATCATGAGGTGAGGGGCGAAGTGGGGAGGGCGCGGAAAGGAGGACCTGGCAACTATGGGTGGGGGGGTGCAAGCAAGCAATTTGTGCAAGTGATATATTTATCATGGCTTTTATTATGCTCTGTTGCCATCAGAGCAACCTTTAAAGTTTGTGTATCTAAAAATATATGGATTCCAACAAAATAAGCACAGAATTGGGTCCTCAGAAAGTTTTCTGAGTGTTTCATCCTAAACCAAGCATGTCTGTGTCCTTCAATTAGATGGGAGCAACTCTTTTAGCCGATTTGATTCTCCAGATAGGCCACTGTGAGTGTGTATGATGGCTGGTCCTATAGAGTTCTGGCTGGAGGCAGCAGAGTTGTGAACCAAGCTGACCAGTACAGTTTGTTACCTACATTTGTCTAGCGGCGCCTGCAAACTTCATACATGAGATTCAGAGAAGGAATTAGCAGAGAATAAACCACCTGCCTTTTCTAGAGAGGAGGCAAAGAGCTGAGCAAGAGCCAGAACTGAAAAACATAAAACAGACCTTTCCTGAAGACCAAGATTTCTTTGATCCCACCACCTCCGGTGTCCTCCTCTCCATTGGAAGAACAGATGGGTGCATCTCCTGTGCCTCTCACACTTTTCCTTTCCTTTCCTGGCTCTTTGGAGCCTTTCGATGCTCTTTTCGGACTCTTGGTGGTGTAATTTGTTTCAACATGAAACATTCAGTTTATCATCAACCATAGTTCCAAGTAAATAACTTTGTACTTGTTTCTCTTAAATGTCAGTCAGTGACCTTTATCCCATTTTTCTAGCCATTAGGATCAATTTTATTTCTGTCTTCTAAGAAATGAAGTGTCTCACCCAATTTTATATTATTTTAGAATAGAATAGAGCTGAAGATACTTTGGAGGTCTTCTGGTCCACCCCTTGGCTCAAGCAGGAGAACCTATACCAGTTCAGATAAGTGACTGTCTAGTCTCTTCTTCAAAGCCACCCATGATTTCTAAGGAAGTTTCCAATTCCAGGTTGCTTCTCTCTTTGATCAGTTTTCAACCATTGTTTCTTGTCCTGCCCTCTGATGCTTTGGAGAATAATTTGACCCCCTCTTCTTTGTAGCAGTCCCTCAAATACTGGAAGACTACTATCATGTCACCCTAATTCTTCTTTTCTTTAGACTAGCCAAATCCAAAATCCTGCAGTCCTTCTTCATATGTTTTAGTCTCCAGGCCTTTGATCATCTTAGTTGCTCTTCTCTGAACTTTTTCCAAAGTCTCAACATCTTTTTTGTAGTGTATGGTGACCAAAACTGGTTGCAGTATTCCAGGTGTGGCCTTAGTAGGGTTTTATAAAGTGGAACTAGTACTTCATGTGATCTTGATTCTGTGCCTCTGTTTATACAACCCAGGATTGTATTAGCTTTTTTGGCTGCTCTGCACACTGCTGGTTCGTGTTCAGGTGACCATCCACTAGGACTTCAGGTCCCTCTCACAGTTACTGTTTCTGAGCCAGGTATCGCCTAACCTGTGCTTCTACCTTTGATTTTTCCTGCCTAAGTGTAAAACTTTGCTTTTCTCCAGATTAAAATTCATTTTGTTCGATAGGGCCCATTGTCAACTTTGTCAAGATCCTTTTGGATCCTGAGTCTTCCGGGATGTTGGCTATTCCTGCCAATTTGGTGTCATCTGCAAATTTGATGAGTCCCCTTTTATTCTCCCATCTAAGTGATTTATGAAGATATTGAAGAGTACTAGGCCTTAGACGGAGCCTTGTGATACCCCACTACTTACTTCTCTCCATGTAGATGTAGTACTACTTAAGGACTACTCCTTGAGTACGGTTTGTCAGCCAGCTACAAATCCCTCTGGTGGTGAAGCTGTCTATTCCACATTTGTTAGCTTCCAGTTCCTCATCCAAGCCATTGATAATAATGTTGGAGAACCATTGGGGCCATTTGCTAACACTACAATTTAGATATGCTTTTCAAGAAATTATTCGACTAAAACATGAAATAGGTTATTTCAGGTTTAAGACTCACCACCTAAGTGTGACGTGTTCCTATTTTTTCTTTTTTTAGGAAATCATGGGGAAAGCATATCTAGATAAATCTGTATGGAGATTCTCATAGTTGCCCCAAAGGGGCTTTTTGAAAAGGCAACTGAACTTTCTTATTTTTTTCCCCTTGAAAGCGTTTTGCCTCTTATCCAGGAAGCTTTTTGGCTTTACTGAAGAAGCTTCTTGGATGAGAGGCGAAACATTTTCAAAGAGGAAAAAACCAAGAAAGTCCAGTTGCCTTTTGGAAAAAGCACCCTTGGTACACACTGAGCTAAATTAGAAAGATATGGAGTAGTGGCAGGATTGAAAATTAATAGACAGAAAATGAAACTTTTAGCAAAAAATTTAACAGATCTACAAACCATAGAATTAGAAAGAGTACTCGCACTTCAAACAGCAAGAAAAATTAAATGGGAATATGGCTGACAGCACACTATAAGGCGATAAAGGAGAATAATTATAATAAGCTATTACAACAGACAAACAAAAAAACTTAGAATTATGGACCAAATTACAACTGTCATTACTAGGAAGAATAGCAGCCATAAAAATGCCTATATTATCAAAATTTATTTATCTATTCCAAACTATTCCAGTTAAATTAGAAAAGACCTTTTTCGATAATCTTAATAAAATGACAGCAAAATTTATTTGGCAGGGTAAAAACCCCAAAATAAAAATGAAACTACCTCAAGATATGAAGAGCAGAGGAGGCTTTGGATTGACAAATTGGGAATTATATTATAGTGCAGCAACATTAGTTTGGCTAAAAGATTGGATTAATTTAAAAAATAAAAGAATATTAGCTATAGAAGGTCATGACCTTCAGAGGGGACGGCATGCCTTTCTTTGGGACACAGGACCCACCAAACAAAAATATTTCCTCAGACATCTGATTAGAGATTCGCTGATATACAACTGGATCAAAGTTAAAAAGAAACACTATATAAAAATCCCAACCTGGCTATCTACAATGGAAGCAACGATCCACCCAAATAATTTAGACCTGAACAAAATGTTAAAGTATAAAGGCTTATTGGATACAGATGGAAACTTAAAAACAATACAGGAGCTGCAAGAACAAGAGCTACAAGTAGACTGGTGGGCTTATTTTCAAATACAAAGACGATATAAAAAGGATGTAAAGGAGTATGGAATATATTTGAAACCTCAACAATTAGACAAAATCTTATTAGGCCCAGATAAAAAAAAATATTACCAAAATTTATAAGTATCTCCTAGAAGTAGATTTAGAAGAAGTAGTGGTGAAAGGATGTATGATCGCATGGGGTCAAAATATTGGTCATAACATAAAGTTATCAGACTGGGAGACTGTATGGAATAGAAATCACAAATTAACAAAATCAGCAGCATGCAAAGAAAATGCATATAAAATGTTCTATACTTACCCCCTTCGATTAGCAAAAATGTACCCTAAAATGAGTCCTATATGTTGGAAATATAAAAAAAAGAGGGAACATATTATCATATGTGGTGGTCTTGCCCAGAGGCTCAAAAATATTGGTTCAAAATCAAAAATTGGCTACAGGAAATCACCAATGACCTAGAACCAGAACTCTTCCTATTGGGGAGCTTCAAAAAATAATAATAATACTGCTGCCAGGATCGCCTTTGCCCAGTGTTGGAAACAGGCATATACACCCGTAGAGGAACTGGTTATACAAAAAGTTATGACTTGTGCTGAAATGGATAAATGAATGCTGAGTTTAAAAGATAAGGAAGCTTCAATATTTTATAAGGTATGGGAACAATGGTACAGCTGGATAGATCGGAGGCAGATTAAGGATAGGTAATTATTAAATATAGATAGAATAAGAATATAATTATGCACAGATTAATACCTGTAAATATTGCACAAATGATCGTTATATGATAAGCACCACAAATAGCTGTTATTGAGTGATATGTTTTTTATGTTTTTAACGTAATAAAAATTCAATAACATTTATTTTTTTAAAAAAAGAAGAGTGAAACATCCTTTTCCTTTCTGCAGAATGAACCAGGCCCCTACAGTGGGCTTTGAGTCAGATGTTGGGAGCAGGACGACCCACCATTTCATGTACCCTGAGAGTGCCAGGAACTTGCCTGCCAATGTCAGTTTTGTTCTGGTGCCCTTCAAAGCCTTGGATCTGCTGTGGATCGCCAGCGCCCTCTCAACAGGCCAGATCCGATTGTATGTATCTCTGAGGGGAGTTGATTGGAGAGGGAGCGGGGAGCGGATATTTGGGGGAAGCCTCTACCCCTCTCCTTTCCATCCCTTTCCAAAGGGAGTTGGTTCACTATAATTGCCTTGGCTGGCAGTTATTCCATCTGAGGTGCTCAAGGCCTGTGGCCAAAGCGGCTGCAGCTACCCAGTGCGTAGGCTGCTCCTCCCGCTTCCCCCGCGGCCCCAAGTTGCCTCTGGCTTGGAATATTGCTTTCTCCTAAGGGCTGCCCTTGACGATGACTCGGAAACTACCACCTGGTCCAGAATGTGCAATACGAGCAACTGCACTTCCAGGCACCCCATGCCATGCGCTGCAGGCTTCCGGGTGCAATTCATGGTACTGGTGGTCACCCAAGAAGCCCTGCAAGGCAGAGGAGGGAATTCTCTCTCTGCCATCCTGCAAGACCCGATACTGTTGGCATCTTCTGTGTCTCTTAGGGGACCCCAAAGTCATGCCTTCTCTGTCAGCAGTGTCCATCCCAGGATCAATGGTACCAACACTGATGCCCTGTCAGAAGGACCCAATCGCCTGTTGTCTCCCAGGTCTTGGGTCCAGAGATTGTATGAGCCTAAGTTATTGGAGATGTGATTTGTCCTGACATGGTGTATTTAGTTATTTTATATTGCAAAGTCCCTGATGAGATGCCCGGAGCTGCTTGGCAAGTGAGCAGCCATACTAATAGTAGAAGTAAGGAAGACCCTGCCCAAGAAGGGCTGAAGAGCAAGGAAGCCCCTCTCTTTAACTCCTCTTTTTATGCCTTGGACTAAGGACACCCAGAGTTTCCCCTCCTTCACGTAGGGGATGGTCTATTGGGGGGATCCTGGCGAGGTCAGAGAAGCTCCCTCTGGTCCTTCCACCTGGCCTGCTGCGTTGGGGCTCACCTTATTTGTTTATAAAACATATAGACCACCCACCTTATTCCAAGGTTAACTCTTAGAATCCCTTGGAGCAGAATTCTCCTTTAGTACTTGAGAGGCAGGTGAGCGTTGGGTATCTTGTTGCTGTGCTGCTGGGGCAGAAGCAGCTGATCCTGGCTGGGGAAGCATCTGCCACCTTTGTTTCTTTTACTTCTGAAGTGGTGCAGACCTTCCAGGCCCCGCTCTGGCCGGAAGGGAGCGGGAGGAGCGCAGGCCGCCTTCTCTGTTTCACGCCTTGTTTGTTCTCTCCCGTGCCTCTTGTAGCACTTACGCACCAGTGAAGCCGTTCCTCCGGGTGGACAAAGAGAGGGTAAGTTAGGTACAGGTTACTTTCAGCACATATATATCGCCAGTGGTGTGCTGTATCCCCAGGGTTTACTCAAAATGAAGGAAATGAAGGGAAACGCCACGTGAGAAAACACAGAAATAGTGATAGAGCGCCCACCCCGTCCCACCCCACCTGAGGAAAGCTTGCCCGAGCTGCCCCTTGGGTTGTTCTGCATCCCTTCGGCAGAGAGGAGGAGGAAGGGATAAAGCCCACGGGCGGACTTCCCAATCCTTTCAGGTGCATTGCTGCATTTGGCAGAGGATTGGGCTGGATGGCCCTGGGAATGTTTGGTTTTACTTGTCTTAAAGTATTTGGGGGTTGCAGGGTGTCTGGCCCAGGGCTGTGTGCCCTTGCTGCCGCCTTCCCTTCCGTGCCCTGCCCTGCCTGAATGGGCCAGAGACCCGAGGCGCTCTTGATATTTTGGAGGGTATGGGGAGGATCTGAGGGTGGAAAAACCTCCTAAGCCTTGACCTTCTGATTTTATGCTGCAAAGCTTCCCACAACAGGCCTCTGCCCGCCACCTATTTTGGTGGGGTCCTTGAGTCTCACACATTGTACATCCTGCTTTAATTGCTGGGATTATTTTTACAACTAACGTGTTGGTTTAGTAATGTTACTTTTATCGTGTGTTCTGTATCCTGTTCTGTAAAAGCAGCATTTGGACTAGTAGATGCCACCAACCCTGTGAATCTCTGCTGGGGCTTCTCCGTGATTTGTTGTCACCCAGAGAGTTGAGCCGGCTGAGCCAAAAGCCCCGTCTTGACTGTTCCCTTGGTCTCTTGCCTCTTTAGGTTCAGATCTACAATCCCGCATTCTTCAAATACATCCATGACCGCTGGACAGAGCACCACGGCCGCTATCCCTCCACCGGCATGCTGGTGCTGTTTTTTGCCCTGCATGTTTGCGATGAGGTCAGTTTGATAGGCCAAGCAAACTGTCCTGCCTTGTGGGAGTAACAGCAGCACTCCTGCTGATTAAATGATGTGTATACTTTGATTTTGAACTTTGAAAACGGTGCTTTAGTTATATTTTTTCCTCGGATTTGGGATGTGCAGGAAGAGGGCTGAATTGTTCTCCTCAGAAATGGGAAGAGCAGGCCCTCCCAACTGACATTGTCTCAGCTTTGGGCTGGTCGCTGGTCAGCGAAGGATCTGGGTGAAGAGGCAGGAAAGGTGGGGTGATGAACCAGGATGGATCCCAAAAGCCGTGGGAAAGAAGAGTGAGGACAGTTTCTAGAGGTGCTCAAGCAGAGGCCAGGCAGCCATTGGTCAAGGAGGTGACGTTCCCCCAGGTCATCCCTGAGCTCCCTCCGGATGCCATGAAGCTTGAAGTCAGAGTTGTCACTCCTGGGTACGCTGTGTGTATGTGTGTTGGCCTGGTGAGTGGGAATCCTTTGGATCCCAGTCAAAACCAGTTCTGGAAGAAGGCTGGAAATTGGGAGTGTTGGTTAAATTGTCAAGAGGAAGTCAGGGATGGGGCTGGCTTTTGGGTCAGCAGTGGAGGAAATAGTTTTCCTTCAGATTATGGCTCTTTGTGATGTCAGACATTTTTCCTTGTTCTGGGTGCAGGTGGAGGAGATTAGAAACCAACCTTCAGCCTAGGGAAGCCAATGAGGGAAAGAATGTCAGTCATTTCTTAATCCCGTAAGCTTTGGGCCCGTTTCAGTAGAAAATGTGGGCTGATGCCTAGGCGGTCTGGAGCCTCCCCAGTGAGTGGGTCTTCTTTCCCTCTCCCGGTGACAGGTGAACGTCTTCGGGTTCGGGGCAGACGGCCATGGCAACTGGCACCACTACTGGGAGAACAACCGCTACGCCGGAGAGTTCCGGAAAACCGGCGTGCACGATGCAGACTTTGAGGCCCACATTGTGGACATCCTGGAGAAGACGAACAAGATCAGTGTTTATCGTGGCCACTGAGGTTTCCAGCAGCTGCCGGGCAGCCTGGCTGTCGGTGGCTGGGTGAGGAGGGACAGTTTTCCTGCCCCCGATGCACCATATGGCAAAGCCGCTCTTTGAAGAGGAAACGAGGAGCTTAGGAAGGGGAGGACACCAAAGCCCAGGAGGTCCTGGGAAGCAGAGGCAAGCAGAGAGCAGCTCCTCCTTCCTCAGAACAAAGCAGTGAGATGCAGCGGTGGCCGTCCAGCCTCCTCCTCTTCCTCCTGCCCAGGCCTGACTCTATGACCGAGACCCCCTTTTGCCTGCAACAAAACAAGCACCGCGAGGGTCTCCTCCAGACTCTTTTTTAAAATTAAGTTTTTCTTCAGTAAATGGGAGTAGCTTTCTGCCTTTGTCCCAGGAAGTCGTTTTTTCTTTTTTCCTGTACAATTAGGTGCCAGGCTGGATTGCATTTTGTCCCAGACATGTAAACTCATGCAGAAACCTTGGAAGGGAAGCCAGGAAGCGCCTGGAGATTGTGAACGTTGACCTCTAGCTCAAGGCATGTGGTGTATTTGCCCCAAGGGCAGATGCTCTTGTTCCTAGAGCCTCCCGAAGTGCTCAGATGCTGCAGGCTGCGACTCAGACTCTTCGTTCCTGTCCGCCCAGACTTCCTTCCTCCCTCTCTCTTGCTCTGTTCATGGCAGGGATGCAAGGAAGGGCTGCCCTTCCGATCTTGAGGGGGGGAGCACTCCAGGGCCTCCAGATTGCAGCCTTTCTCCGGGGGAAGGACGGGGGTTGATGGACGGGTCACATGGAGTCAGAATCCCGAGGCCTTCCAGGTTGTCACTCACAAGCGACTATCATTTTCTAGGCCACTTTCTGCAAAGGAGCCATTGGAGCTAGCAGCTTTAGGCCTGCCTTCGTCTTGTTAGCCAGGGGAGGGCCTCACGTGGGTGTGTTCCTGCCTGCTCTTCACCGAGAGCAAGAGAAGGGGCCCCCGAGGGAGCCTGGCTGCCTTCCCTTGCTCTGGGTGCAAGAAGCGGGAGGCTTCCCAGTTGCTTTGGCGATTAAGGCCTTGTAGACAAAGGGCAAAAGCAAGTTGCCCATAAGTGGTTTTCTTCAAAAGGACAATCCCAGCGGTATCGGTATTAAATCAGTGTTTTGTTTCTTGGAATAACTGAATTCTACGGCATGAAGGAGCTCTGGCAATGGTGGCTTTTTATTACAAGCATAGCTAACAATATTTCCCCAATAAGAAATGGCAGCAATTGGGGATCTATAAGCCAGCCTGCCCTTGGAGGGCCAGCAGCTTCTGGCCAACCCCAGGGCAGCTTTCTATGGTCACCTGAAAGGGGAGGGTTCCCTGCCCAATGGTGCTGGGTCGCCCTTGTGCTTCTGGGACAGCATCCGATCTTATTGCCACCCCTCCCTCCCTGCTTACTGCAGCTGGATTGCAGTTTCCCTTTGGTGTGGCCTGCAACTGGCCCTCGGCCCTCTCCAGCTTGGGGCCTTGAGCTGCAGATCCTGCCGCCAAGGAGACGGCGGGTTCAGGGGTGCCCAGGATCCCTGGACCTTTTTGCCTTCGCTCAGCCATGGTTCCTCCACAGTAGAGGTTCGGGAAAGGTCAACTGACTCCGAGAGCGGCAGGTCCTCGCCGGTGTCCTCGGGACTCACCTGGAGTAGCCACTCCTACATCCAGAGTTGCTTTGCTTTGAGTCTACGAACAAGAATTGTGTGGCCTTGAGCTTTTCCCCCTTGATCCCTGCAACTGAGGTACCTGCATGGGCATAGATGGGCTCCCTGGGCTCCGGGGCTCCAGGCCTGGGAGAGGCAGCCTTCCTCCCACATCAGTTGCAATTGCAATGCCTCCAGTTCCCTGGGGTATTTTTCCAGAGGGCTTTCTTAGTGAACGTATCTTTTTATATGTGGAGCGCTATCAACAGTTCACTAAGGAAGCCCCTAAGGAATCCCACTGTCCCTGGGTGGCGTGGCATGGCATGGGCTGGTGGCTGGTGGCTGGAGGCTGGCTAATCCCAGGAGCTTCTGCAGCTGGCAGAATGGCTGCCTGGCTCCACTGAGGCTGCCATTCTTGTCAGAGGGACGGGGAGAACGCTCTGAAGTAGGGCGATCGGATGGTCCAGCCTGGGCATCTTTCTGTCCAGAACAATCTTTGCCAAACCAGTTGCTGCTTCAGCTCCAGCGGCCATTGCCTGACTCTTGCAAATCCTTTTTTTTTTGCTTACTGTCCGAGAAGCTGCCTACACTTCAGACCAGGGATGCTGCCCCTCCCTCATTTTGTTATTTTTTAATTTCACGGGCTACAGTTTGGAAGAACTGGATTTGTTTTGTGTTCTGCTACACAAAATAAAAGTTGTACTTTTTCCTTCTGGAGGCTCCTGGTATTTATGCTGCATGTGTCTTGGATCCTTGTACAGCCGCAGGGGATGCTCAGGAGGCAGCCAAGGCTCCAGTCCAGCTGCTGTCATTGGCTCCAAGCACAGGCCCCAGTCTAACCAGTAAGACGGAACAACTCCCGTCCATAACCTCGATGTGTTTCTATTAATGCTTCCCACGATGGAGAGGAGTGGCTGGCTGGTGTTGAGCTATCCCACCTGTACACTTGCTTGTTTCTCCTATGCACTGCAAAGCCATTTCACCTATCCTGCAGTTTTGAGTCTCCATGGCTGCTGGGATTCACCACATGGGTGGCGCATCTGGACAAGGCCTCCTCCAGGACCGTCCAAAGCTTACAGCCTTGATGACAGGAACCCTCCTGGCCACACCTGTCTTGTTGGTAGCCTCTCCGGCTCAAAGCATCTAGTCCACACTCACTCCTAACAGACCACGGGGAAAGGAGGTTTGGGGCACTTGCCTTGTTTCCTCCTCCAGACTGTTCCCATACTCGTAGGTAGTCCAAGGACATCTTCCCACTTGGCTCCTCACAAGAGATCCATCCGTACCATTCAGTTTCCAAAAGGGCCACTCTATTCTAGGTCTGCTTCTCTATGGCGAATGGCCGGTTGATTTGCTCAGTCAGCAGAGCCACCACCCTCAAAACGGCCCCAGGTACAGCAGGGCAGGGCATTCCGGGACTGGCCTCCTGCTCAGTGGTGGGATTGACAAAGTTTTACCACCAGTTTGGTGGGTGTGGCTTGGGCACACTTCGTGTGTGCATGCGCCGCAAACATGCACTTTGCACAGGCACAGAGGCATTCTGACTCACCGGCAGCTGCACTCTCCCAGTCGCTTCAGCAGCTGCCGTGTGCCACTCAGCTGTGCCGCCCAAAGCAGCTGCACTTCAAAAGCAGGGAATGAAGGTGAGTGTGGGAGCCCTGGCGGGCAGGTGGGCCCAACAGCAGAGTGGCGGAGAGAACCAGTTCAGTCTCTGCTGCTCATTGGCGCTACAGGCTCAGCAGAACTGGGCCAAACCGGTCGAATCCCACCACTGCTTCTGCTCCATGGCCTTGTTGAAGTTTCTCATCTAATCCAGCTGCGGGTCAAGCGGGAGAGGAAGGGACGCCTTTTGCAGGCCTCACTTTCCCTTCTTCCTCTCCCCTTCAGGGCAGTTCTTCAAGTCTGATCTCACATCCGTTCCAGCTCAGCATGGCCTCTGCCAAAGACCACCGTCTTTCCCTTATTAAGGTCCTGCATCTGCCGAGCCTCGGATTTTGTCCACTGCACTTGGACCATGGAGCCCGCCGTGTTCGTTCCATCATGGATGGTGGTGATCTCAACCTGACAAGAGTGGTTTTGTTTAAACTTTTTATTGAATTATATCGAAACACCTGAGCATTTGCATACACAGCATGTGCATATACAGAGACACACACAAAAAGCACAAAACCAAGCACCAACAGTAACATTCCTATAATTGTATAGCAAAAGGCAGCCATCATTCCCCTGCTTGGGGTAAACCATCAAGTCCAAAGGGCTGTGCTTTAACCTGCTCTGAATGAGTGAGAGAGGTGGGATTGTTGCTGCTGTGGCAACATGGACGGTTTTCGGAAAGCATCTGCCAGAGTCATGTTTTTATTTTCAGTGTTAACCAAGTAACCAACTTTTGGAGACTGGATTGAACTTGCAGTTGGGCCAAATGAATAGTTTACATTTTGGTCTACCAAAGCAGAAGAGATTGAAAAAAAATCCAGTTTGCCTGAAACTATTCCGGTGCATAAAAGAGAAATTACAACCTTTTCCTTTAGGGTTTAAAACTGCTAAATTTGAAAATAAATACTTGCAATGTTTTCCAGTTTTGTGAAGGATACTGGTTTCTTTCTTTCTTTCATTCATTCATTCATTCATTCATTCATTCATTCATTCATTCTATGGCCGCCCATCTCAAATCAATAAACAACAGTTGTGTTACTTTTGTAGAGTATTTTTATCTGCAAATTTTGAATAGGAATGGAATTGCCAACAGAAATCATTCACTGAAAACTTGGAGGATTACAGGTCCTTGATAGGCGAAGAAAAATGGCAAATCCAGTCAAAACATCTGACTGAAACCAACGTAACAATTCATTATGCATTACATCCCTGTAACGATATTGATGGAAACCCTGCAGAAATGGAGGCAGAGGTTTACTGCAAGTCAAACTGTTGAAGATGAAAAGGCAGGCAATAGCCAATTGCATAAAAGACAGCCAAGTTTAAAACTGGAACTTGTGGAATGTGCAGGAAACAACCTGAACATTGAAATAATGTAATAAAAACATGAATACAACGGGGGCAAGGAAAAGCATTACACAACATGGCCAATTTCTACAAACAGTGGAGGAGGTGAATGCAACCTGGCACTGACTTACAAATGGAACATTAAAAAGGGAATCTGAAAAGTTGATTTTGGCTGCTCAAGAGTAAACTGTTTGAACTAATGCAATCAAAGCAAAACTGAAAAATTTGTCATTTCAAAGTGCAAATTGCGCAAAGAGGCAGAACAAGTAGGTCCTATGTTTAGACTGCAAAAAGATTACACAGATGGAAAAGTGGAAACATGAAAAAGTCAAAGTGAGGTTAAAATATTGTGCAATTTCTGAATATAGACTGATAAAGTCTTGACTCAACACACCAGATTTAACTGGTTGAAAAGAAGTAGATAATGGATGTGGCTATATGAGGGATAGTAGAATAGGAGAAAAATAATTGGAGAAGATTAGGAAGCATCAAGATCTGAAAATCCAAGTTGAAAGATTGTGGCATACACCGGCCTTGGTGGTCCCAAGAGGCCTCGTAGCGCAGTGGTTAGAATGCAGTACTGCTCACTCCAGGAGTTCGATTCTGACCTGCTCAAGGTTGACTCATCCCATCCTTCCAAGGTTGGTAAAATGAGGACCCTGATTGTTGGGGGCAAGAGGCTGACTCTGTAAACTGCTATAGAAAGGGCTGTAAAGCACGGTGAAGCAGGATAAAAGTCTATTGCTATTACTATTTGCACACTGAGTGTCCTATCAAAAGGTCTTCCAACTGTCACTTGCAAAAAGCCACACTGCTTGTTCTACACACAGACCTTATTTGGTTTTTGGGAAGAATTTGAGATGTAAGATGTGCCTTCACATTATTATAAACAGATAATAACAATTTAAGGGAGATGAGTGGCAAGCAAATTTAATAAACAAGCAAGCTTCAATGTGCAGGCTTATCCCATGATCTAGGCATGTTACCTGGAATTTTAGTGTTCATTATTAACTTTTTAAAGGGAGATTTTAAAAAACCCATGTTTTAACATGGCAACTCTGGCCTCTTGCTTAATTTTAGAAAACATGGGGGTGGGGGTGGGGGTTGTTTCTTCTTGGTATGCAGGAACTTGTCATTTCAGCACTAAACAACAGTGTGTTCTGAAAGTCCCCAAATGCACTTATACTTTTAAAGAAAGATACAACCCCAGCTGGGAAAGAGTAGAGCTAAATTTGCCACTTCTGCAATGTTATCTAGAATCCCTGTTTTCTGTTGTTTAATTCGCACATGTGATCAGTGGCTTTTATGGTTTCATCAGCTGCTTTCTGCCTGAGGCAGGCACCAGGTCTATCCTTTATTTCTGTTCCCTGTACTCGACCTCCCCCCGAACAGGCGCTTTTTCCTGGGCGGCTCCCGTTTTCGGGGGGCAAAGCCGCTCCTGACCGGGGGCTGGAAGGCCTCCCCCCCCACCCCCGAGTCCCCTCCTCCCCCGGGAGGCAGCCGGGAAGGGGCGGGAGGGGCTCAGGGATCATCGGCCGGTGGCTAAGCGGGGGGGGGGGGGCGGGGCCGCGGCTCCTCCCGCACGTGCCCCCCGTTGCCGGGCAACCGTGGCGGCGGTTGGGCAGCTGTGCCGGCCCGGAGGCGGCGGCGACCCGGCATGGTGAGGGGGCGGCCGGCGGGGGCCGAGGCGGGCGAGGTGGGGGCGCTGGCTGATCCCCCGTGGCTCTCCCTCCCGCAGGACCCGGCGGCGGCGAAGGAGGCGGAGGCGTCGTCGGGGGCGCCGTCCGGGGGCCCGGAGGAGCCGCCGGTGCAGCTGAACGTGGGCGGCTGGGCCTTCGCGGTGCCGCGGGGCAAGCTGGCGCAGTTCCCGGAGTCGCTGCTGGGCCAGGCGGCGGCGGGGTCGGCGGGGCAGCGGCTGTTCCTGGACCGCGACGGCTACGCCTTCCGCCACGTCCACTACTTCCTGCACACGGCGCGGCTGTCGGGCGGCAGCGGGCTGGAGCTGCCGCTCCTCTACGAGCAGGCCGGGCTGCTGCGCCTGGCGCCGCTGCTGCAGGTGCCCGGAGGGGGGGGGAGGAGGGGGAGGGGACCCCCGCCGCCCCCTCCCCTCCCCCCTCCCCCCCTGACGCGCCTCTCCCGCAGAGCCTGGACAACCTGAAGGAGGGCAAGCACAACCTGCGCGTCCGCCCCGCCGACATCCCCATCGCCGAGCGCGCCTCGCTCAACTACTGGCGGACGCGCAAGTGCATCAGCAAGCCCTGCGCCGCCGCCGCCGCCGAGTGCGCGCTCAAGAGCCCCGCCTGCTCCGGTAAGGCGGGGGGCGGCGGGCGGGTCCGCTCCCGCCCCCGCGGGGTCCCCCGAGCGCCGCCGCGACGGCCCCCCCTCCCTCGCTCGCTCCCTCCCTGCCCGCAGGGTCTCCGGAGAAGGCGCCGCTGGGGCTGATGGACACGCCGCTGCTGGACACGGAGGACGAGGTGCCCTACTGCTTCCTGCCGCTGCGCCTGGTGGAGGAGTTCCCGGCGCTGGTCACCGACGACAACCTGCTCTGGCTGGCCGACGCCGCGGCGCTGATCGAGTGCGAGAGCGGCGAGTTCCGCTTCATCGGTAAAGCGGGGGTGGGGGACCCCGCGGGGGAGGGGGCGCTTGCTGCGGGGCTGAGTCCCCCGAAGGCGCCGGGGGAATTGGGGCGGAGGCCCCGCGCAGGAGCCGGTAAAATCTCGCTTTCCGGCACGGTCGGCCCCCTCGGCTACCTAGCGAGCGCTCAGAGGCGAGGAAAGGAAGGCAGCCCCCTTCCAGCCGGGCCCAAGAACCGCTGAGAAGCCGCCGGTGCTGCATTGCCCGTCATCAAGGCAGATTCTGGCTGTCTCTCACTCACTGGGGCGCCAAGCTTCCCCGGGAGCCCCCGCCGCCGGTCTGTTCGCTGCAAGGAAGGAAACGGTGGAGCATAAGGAGCAATGGGGGGGGGGGGGACCCTGCAACCTTCCCTGTCTCCCCCCACCTCGTTTGACTAGTTCCTTTCCCCAGAAAACAAAAACTGCCCCGCTGTTGACGCAGGACACCTGGAGCTGACGTTTCTCAGCCCCTTTCAAGAAATTGCTGCTTGTACAAAACCAGGGGTTGTTGGCTCTTTCCCTGTGTCTCTACCAAGATATGCTGGTGTTGTTAAAGGAGAACAGTTGTATCTCTGGATTGACATGAGGGGTCCCCGGTGCTCTCTGAGCTTGGTTGGTTTTTCGTAGTGCTGCTCACCGATGATGTGATCTGTTTGGGTAATGAAACACCTGCAAGAAAACAAGCCCGCTCAGAGAGCACTAAGGAGCCCTTTACCAAGCCTGTAATTTGCATTGTTATTCGAATTATTGTCATAGTTATAAGCCTAAGCTATGTTTCAAATTCAAATTCTATTTCTTCCTGTCATTTTTGTCTGTATTGTTTCCATATCCATCTCTTGCTGGCTGGCAGGCTGACTCTGTCCATCTCTTGCTAGGAATCCCCAGTTTTGCTTTCCCCCAAAGTCACTCGAAATATATGTATATAGCATGGAATGTGATGGCAAAAACACCCTGCTAGACCTCCAGGTTGCTTAACTTTCTGGTGTGCATTTTTTTTAAACAACTAGCTAATTTTCTTCGATCAGAGAAGATTCTTTTGCCTGATAACTTCTCCAGCTTGGATGCACTGGAAGCTGAAGCAGAAGCTTTAGGCATTCCCAAGGTCATAGAAGCCGTGAAGGTCTTCAGGAATAACCCAGGTGCAGTTCTTACAACATTTTAAGTTCTGTGTTGACTGGTTTCCATGTAAAAGGGATTACTTGGGCTTTCTTTAATTACAGAAAGGGAATAATAATAGCTTGGTCATATTCATTAGGAAACTGTGTGGAATATAATAAAAAAAATTGAGCTATTTGTTACTAAAATCCAATCTTCTCTTTTTGGAGAAGGTGGCTGAGAAGGTGGTCGCGCAGCAGCTCCAGAGGTTTCTGGATGAAACGTATTATCTCACCCCCTACCAGTCAGGATTCAGACCTGGATTTGGGACACAAACAGCATTGGTCGCACTTTTGGATGATCTCTGGCGGGAGCGGGATGGGAGTAGTGCATCCATCCTTGCTCTACTTGACCTCTCGGCGGCTTTTGATACCATTGATCATGGGATTCTCCTGGGACAGCTTCAGGGGATGGGAGTGGGAGGCCTTGTGCTACCCTGGTTCGCTTCCTTCCTCTACAGCTGCTCTCAGTCAGTGTTGATAGGAGGGGAGAGATCCAACCCTCGCCCACTGCTTTACGGGGTTCACAGAGCTCGGTACTCTCTCCGCTCCTGTTCAACATTTACATGAAACCGCTGGGTGAGATCATCCGTTACCATGGACTGAGGCATCACCAATATGCTGATGAGACTCAGCTGTATGTCTCAGCCCCGTAGTGAGTTAAGTGTTGCTGTGTCCTCTCGCAATGCCTGGAGGCTGTTAGGGGCTGGATGGGCAGCAACGGGTTGAAACTAAACCCATGCAAGACCGATTTTTTTTCTTCAGATTTTGTTCTATTGTACTTTATTAATTTATTTGATTCTTTTTGTTAGTTTTTATTGTTTGTTTTTTTTGTTTTAAATATGGTTTTACATTCTGTAAGCCATGTTAATGCCAATGTCTCCTTGGGTGTTTTTCTTTAGGCTCATGTTCCAGTGAAGCCTCTAAGTCTCAAGGCTGTCAGAGGAGCACGGCGGCCCAGCAGCAGAGAGTTCGGGACCCACCAGCCCTCCTCCCTTTGTACCCAATGGTGCTGGGTCTCCTAGTCAAGTACCCTGACTCTGCTCTGGGGCAGCTCCACATGGAGAGCACCCTGGATGGGAATAAGCTCTACATATCAGGGAACGGAGTTCTTTTTCAGCATGTCATGTATGTCCCCTGGGCAGTTTGGTGGTTCTTGTTCCTAATTTCTGATAAGGACATTTGGGATGTGAATGCAAATGCAACCCTCCATTATAGCACAATGGTGTGAAGGATGTGCTCTCCAGGCAGCTCCATGGGATGGTACCAGAATATTTGTTAGTTTAGTTTAGTTTAGTTTAGTTTAGTTTAGTTTAGTTTAGTTTAGTTTAGTTTAGTTTAGTTTAGTTTAGTTTAGTTTAGTTTATTGTCATTGCACCTCGTACAACGAAATCAACCATCTTCAGTGCACATCATGACCATGAAAATAAACACAAACACACATCCTTCACCCTCCACACATTGAACCGGAAACCCCCAACACCACACCAACACTGCACTATACAGCAGAATTCAAAACAGCTACTGTCCTGGCATAGAAGCTGTTTTGCAGCCTATTTGTCCTTGTTTTTATTACCTTGTACCATCTGCCAGATGGTCATAGTTCAGAAAAAGGGTTCCTAGGATGAGATGGATCTTTGAGGATGTTTTGAACTTTCTTAAGGCAGCGGGAGCTCTAAAGCTCTTCCAAAGAGGGGAGAGGGCAACTAATGATCTTCAGGGCAATGACATTAACCCTCTGGAGTGCTTTTCCTATCTGCCCCTGGGCAATTGGCAAACCATACAGGGGTGCAGTATGTTAAAATGCTCTCTATGGTGCAGCGGGAGAAGGTCACCAGAAGTTTTTCATTCAGTGGTTTTCTGAGAAGTCTCAAGTAGTATAATCTCTTTAACCAGGGCTGCAATGTGGGGCCCCCAGGTCAGGTCCTCTTTTAGGGTAACACCCAGAAACTTAAAACTGGCCACTTGCTCCCCTTGGTCTCCATTGATAAGCAAGGGCTGGAGGTCTGATCTGTTCCTTCTATAATCCACTATAAGCTCCTTGGTCTTATTGGTGTTTAGGGCCAAGTTATTGTCTTCACACCACGAAAGCAACTGGTCCACCTCATCTCGATAGGCAGACTCCTTCCCCTCCCCAGGAGATAAGTCCCACCACCGTTGTATCATCTGCAAATTTAGCCATAGTATTACTAGCATGAGTGGG